GTAGATTGTTGCTCTTTTGGTGATGTATGAACGGTGACTTTTCAAAGCATCATGATATTAAGGGCATGGGCAATGTGGAAGATGCAGACAGAAACATTTTGGATGGGTAAAGGAAAGAGTCTGGGCTTTGCTAAGGAATCCAAACACAAAGGTTTTAATGAATCAGATGTACTGGTGTTAGTAGGAAAGGAAGAGTTATCCCCTCCTCTATTAAAACACACAATGAAAATTCACAGCATGTGGAAATTATTTTTATATAGCAGAAAGGAGTGAGAGGTTAGTAATCTCAGGAGTGCTACATAAATCTTTCTTTTGGGAGACAAAAGAAATCTTTGCCACTTTAGAGGTTATTATTTGCATTCTGGGATTTTTCAGTTTATGATCACAATTACGGTATAAGTAATGTCTTGGGGCCTTGAGAGTAACAGCTACTCATGTAGATAATGGCTTGTAGACCTGAGCCCCAAAATATTAGTGTCTCATGGAGATTCCTTGCTCACAAACTGTTATTCTGTTACTGACTCCAAGACATGAGAGGACACACGTAGGCATTGGCTCTTCCTCATAGTTTTTGCAGCATATAAACTCTAACACATTGCTGTATGTTAATTTGAAGCCTAAAATATTAGAAATGTGAATCACTTTACATGGCTGATGGCCAGAGCAATTTCTAAAACACACATTCTTTTTCTACAGGGACATGGTCTACTCCTGCGGTGCACTTCTTTAGACTACCCTGCCTCCCATGATAAGGAGTTTCCACAATCCCAGCTTAGATGAGCCAATGACAAAGGTAAATGATTATATCTTTTAGTTTATTATGGGTAGCTGTACTGTGATGTAATGTGTGTGAAATGAGATGTGGTCTGTTGTGAAACCTGGGTCTCTTCTGCTTTTTAGTCCATTGAGGAAAAAAATGAGGTAAAGGATAAAATACCTCTCAAATTCTGTTAAAAATGTTAAAATAACAAAATGGTGTGTCATTAAAGGATGGAAAATAAGTATTACCACAGGGAGGCAAAAAAAAAATAAATTAAAAAACCAGTATAGCCAAATTAAAACTGGCTGTAAGGGGGTTATTACAATTTACTCTGTGAAAGTCCAGATATGGAGTATACACTTACCAGCCTATGGGTAAAAACAGGTAAAATTTGCATAAGTTCAGACTCTTCGTTATATTAGTGGTGGCTGATAATTTAGCAGAAAATGGGATTTAGTGCATCTAAATGAGAAATGGTAATGTTCTAAAATGGTTAATGCATGAGTGCCATGCCCACAGAAATAGGCAATCACTGTCAGAATACTCTGTCACTGGCAGAGATCAGAATAGAAAACTGTTTCCTCATGACACAAATCACCTACTTCGGGGACAAAAGGATTTTTCTGAATCTAGGTGCAAGCTTTTTGGCCTTTTTTTTGTTTTACAGCTTTACCATGAAAGATGCAACTCAAAATCAGTGGTGTTACTAGTATGAAACTACTGAAAGTGATGTTTTAGTTAGGTTTTTGTTGCTTCCTCTAGGCAAAGGAGTTTGCAGAAGGAAGGGTAGGGGACACAGTTAAAATCTTTGTAGACAAAGATGGGAGGTGATAGGACTTCTTTGTGGAATTTCAGGTTAGTCCAAATAGAGGCTTCCTTGCTTTGTCCCGGTAGTTTAGTTTATTCAGGGACTGCTGTGTCACTTGCCTACTCTCCCACAGTTGCGATACTCTTCTTCTGCTAAGCTAGAAGATGCAGAGGCAAAAGTTAACATTATGTACGCAATTTAAGCTCCTGAACAACTTTCCATAGTTAAAAGTGAGATAATAACAACATGATGAGCAATGAGGTTACATATGTAAATATGCTCAAAGTCGTGCAGCAAATCAGGAGCATTTTGACGTGCGTCGGAAGATTCTGATGTGTGTGAGACCTCACCTGTACATGAGTCCTCAAAAGGACATTTTCCTGCCATTAAGCTAAATCACCAGAGTGGAGCCATGATACACCTGAGAGCTCCCCCGGCTTAATACGCAATCCCTTCTGCAGCATGTGTTTCTTATTTTTACTTTTTCCTCCTCTATAAACATAGAAGGAAAATGTAAATTAATGAATAGCAAGCTTTAGAAATGTATTGTGCAGAGCAACACAGTTATTTTCATCTGCAATGTTGCTAATCTGTCAAAAAGTGGGAGAGAAAGAAACACTTAAAACCTTCTGCTTCTGCTCCGGAAATGGAGAGACGTCCATCAAACAGAGGTGTTCCACTTCCTAATCTAATGGAAATTAGTAGAGCTGGCTGAGTAGTTCATGTTCCAAATTGTTATCTACAAGGACTTTCCCTCTCTAAAAACCTCAAACAAATCACAGCCCTGTTTCTTGCCTATCACCAACGCGTTTAGTGACTGATAGAAGGTTTTGCTTTCAGTAATTAAAACATTAACTGAACAACAAGCACACATACAGGTGCAGCATGTCTACGTGAACACAGACATACAGATATCACTAAAGTATCTGTCATGTTAACTAAACTAATTAATGTGGAAGTTTTATCCCTGTTTCCAACACCATGGCAAGTGATTTCCACATAACTTCCCGCTAGTCCAAGTGTTACAGCTCTGGGGAAAACAAACTTCACATGGAACTCTTACTTTCTTTTGACTTCATGATGAAAAATAATCATTTTCTTTCACTTGTTCAGTAAAACAAAGTATTGTGGATTTCTGGGCAAGGAAATGGACATTAGATTTGAACACCTTTGTTCAGAGAAAGCTTTGTCTTTCATGGGTCATAATTCAGCAACCTGTATTAAGATTTGGTTCACTGTCTCTGGTTGAGACACTTGATTACTTCTTTTTCATATAATTAATTTAGATATCCTTACAGTGGGAGAATATCACACAATTGCAATACGCCTCAGAAAAGGATTTTCGTCCTTAAATGAGAATGTTAGGAACAGCCCGGAGGGAAAAGTTAAAAGATTAAAAGCAAAGGATCAGCATGGAGGCTTCTTAACGAATACCTCATTAGGGTCAGAAAAAGAGAACCAAAGGCAGAAAGGAAAGAAAACAGTATGACTAACTGGTAAAGTACAAGAGTTTATTCAGACCAAAAAAATCTTTTACAATGGTAATGCAACTAAACCCAAGAGAAATTAGTATCATTGTAACTGTTACGAAGTATAACATGGAAAACATAGAGGCCCGATAGTGCTGTCACCTGCACAAAACTCCTGTTAAGGGCAGGTCATTATGAGGACTAGAAGAAAATCCGAGTGGCCAAATATTAAGACAAGCAAAGGATCTGTGATTTTTGTACAAGTCAATTGGACTAGTGAGTTGCTAAGGGGTTAATCAAATAGAATGAAAGGTCCAATACAGACACCTTAATTCACGTCAGTGTGAAAGGTATTATCGCCCATGAGGAAAACAAGATACTATGATCCCTAGTGCTTTGTCTGGAAGGTGGCACACTTAATAGAATGATACTAAAATAGATGTTCTGCCAAATTTGTACAGCTTGTTTCCTGGTGGGTTTTTTTTTTCCAAAGTAAAAATTAATGCTTTATTTTGAAAATAAAATTCATTAGTGAACTCTTTGCTGTCCTGGCTCTGAGATGTTCCTTGTGGGTACTCAGCGCCAGCAACAGAGGTAGCAGAACAAAGGCTGCTCTTACAGCCAAAGTGCAAGCTAAGCTATGGTGCTGTGAATCAGTGCATCCTCAAAAAGTGCAGTCTTGGTTCTCAAGCAAACATAACTGCACAGGAAAGGGTAACGCTGCGCCCTCCAAAAAGCCAAGAGTAAAACCAAAATAAAGCCACATCAGCTTTACTTTTGCGCTCGGAAAATTACCAATTGAGTTGAACAAATGTTTGGATGTGTGGCTGTCCTGTACTGGAATGACTTTTTTTGATGGTATGTTTAAGAACATGGAACAGCATCATAAAATGTATTTAAAGGCAATATATTTTTGAGCCCTTTCCTTTGAAGTTCTTTTTAGGAAGCACTTAAGTAAAGAAATATCTTTTATCTGAAATAAAGCCTGATTTGAAAAAAAGAAAAACTGTAATTGTCTTATGGTAACTGGCTAATAACAGGAAAACAAAGACAGAAATCTAACAGCAGAGCTAGAGTCCCAGTTTGAGAACAGATGTTGATTCCTGCCCCATGCTTTCCATTTCTTATTGTTGTACATTAAGTAAAGAACCTGAGGAGGGAGGAAATCCTGAGCAACTGCCAGAAATTGAGTGGTAGCAGACTAACTCTTGGACTTAGTGTACCTCAATGTGGGGGTTGAAGGAAAATTGCATAGACTTATAGGCTTGGGTAACAAGAATGGGGGGAGAAAGGAGAAAAGACGAAAACCAGTGTGAGTTTATAAAGAAAAAGACGAGTAGGCGCCATACATCCTATAAACTTGGCTTGGGAGGGGCATGCATGTTTCCTCAATAAACAAGTTCAGGCTGCATATTTGTACATTATGTGCTGTGTGCTTCAAGTAAAGGGTCTGGCCAGGCTGTGATGATGCTAAAGCAGGGTTAAATAGAAGATAACTGCCAACAGAACATTTTTTAGGAAAGTCAACTAGTGCATTTTTCTCCCTTGCGTAAGCCCCCCAACATAAAAGTACAGCTGTTCAGTGGTTTTCTGGAATGTTTTACTATTTGCATGGGTTCCTCTGAGCTAGAAACGCAGAGGCACAGTAGTCAGCGTATCCCTCTCAGTTTTCAGAAAACTGAGAGGACTGAGGAATACTGTTTTATTTTCTATTCCTGTTCCTATATTTCATCTACTGATTATTAGATTCCACAAGCCAACGATCAGTCAGTAACTTACAAACTTGTTTGACATAGAAGTAAATAAAGGAATAGGTAAATTAGCTGAAATTAGGCATTTAGTTAAATCACTCTTTGTTCTGGCCACAACTCTAATTATAGCTTTCACCTCTAACAATGAAACACTGTCTAAATATTGACCTTGCCCAAATTCAGTATCAGTTTCTTTAGATATTGCCAGTTACCTTTTGCTGTAGCCTGCTTTTTGTCTTGTCTTCAATCATGCCACTCACTGATGCATTGCCAATCTGATCTCACTTTCCTGCTGTGAGGTCATCTTCAGCTATTACCCATTTTCTGTGCCTGTAAGAGAAATGCTACTCAACTACAATAAAAGGAGATAAACACCACAGATAGTTACCAAGCATTCTAGCTAACGTTGTTATATAGTTGATACCTGGATGGTTTTGCTATCAAACAAAACCCAAATGGAATGAAAATTGGAAAAGACACCTGACAGCCCCAAATCTGTAGTTCTTTCAGATGATGGTGCAACAGAGAATACTAACAGCATGCTATTTGGAGCATGATATTTTCCTACCCTTAGTTGCAATTCACTTGAAAGCTCGAGGTAATTTTAGTATAATCCATCATTTATCTAAAGGTAAGGCCATAAATGATCAGACCAGCCATTCTATTTCCTATGTGCTTTGTCTCAAACAAGCACAGCTGTTAGGACTTAAGAGTCAAGATAACTTCTTTTCACTTCTTTGTTACAGCTGAGGTAAAAAAACAAATAATCAAGAATAAGTATCATAACTCCCCTTGTTTGTCAGATTGGTTAAATTCTCTAAAATGTTCAAAAATGACAGAGATTCTTCTAGGGTACATCTGTCAAATTATATTTTTTTTGTAGCAAAGGATAAGTTGTAGAACATGGTACAGAACATGCAGAGTGCTCTGAGTACGATGACTGTCTATCAGTGAAAGTGATCTGAAGAGACAAATTTGTTGATGGAACGGGAACTAAAAGAAATATTGTGGTTAGCAAAAGCTTACTGGTTTGCTTCTCACTGCAGGGTTTTTAAGACCAGAAGGAGGAGACAGAAAATGATACTGTGGTTAGTAACTTGCTGTGCAATAGTAGCTGTGTATAAGAAAAAAGCTCTGCTGGAGCCTTTCGGATCTTCAGGCTGCAGCATTTGGGCCTCATACATGAGGTTCATACATCTTTAAGCGCTAAGAGTAAATTACATTGCCACCTACTCAAAACTTTGCAATGTATTTGAACTCACCTGGTGTGTATATGCCAAAATTTTAACTTTGCATAAAATTTTAATTCCAGAACTGTTTTCTGAATGATCTGGAAAATAGTATTGCAAATAGTATTCCAGTTCTCAAGTGGAACCTGTAGCCATCCTGTCTTGATAAGTAGCTGGGGTTCAATTATCAGCAATAGCAACCTGTTTATCCCTGTTAGTGTGGTGGAAACTAACCCTACAGTAGTGAAAAGAAAAAATTAGCCTTCCTTCCCTTTTCCCCTCTCTTCTTGAATAAGTGATGTACTTTTCCCATTTTGTCTTCAGAATTCTATGAGAATGACAACAGTTTAAAATCAATGGATCTAAGAATTTGCAAGGTATCTGATGTGTAAATACTCTTTAACTAGCATTGCAATCTAGAGCAATTGTGAGGCTATTGTTCATTTTACTTCCTTTTTCTTCTCTGTGCTATTATTTGTTGGAACAGATCTGATCCTATTCCGTCAAATAAGTAGTCTCTTTCACTCAATTTGTGCTGTTTCCCTTAACTGCCCAAGTCCCCGTCATTACAGCTAAGGAAACAACTATGGTGGTTTTGTTTAAACTCTCAGACCTCTCTTCACGTTAGTACTTTGGGTGCCAGAGGAGATATGTTTTTGGGTTGCCATCACAAATAGGCAAGGGGTTTATCTTGCTTTGCTGCCCACTCCCCTTCCCCTAACTTAGCCATTTAGCCACTTTCTTTGGCATATCTGCTGAAGCAATCCTGCTAGATGATCTCTGTGGTCCCTTCCAACTCTAAAAATTCAGTGAAATCTAATATGCTGCCTAAGTAGAGCTATTCATATGCTGATGAATCTTGATAACCTGTTTCCCCAACTCAGCTTTAGGTATAACATATCTAAATTAAATTTTAGTCTGTTTCTCCTCTTATTGAGGAGTCTCCTGGAAGACAAACATTACACTGAGCTATAAAAAGCACAAGATTAACCATGTAATATGAGTCAGACATAGCATTTAACTAAAATGATGCATAAATATCCATGTTCTCTATCCAACTCAAGACAGAATGTGACCTTCTATGAACTTACCAAGGCAGAAAAGGAGACTTGAAGTGTGGGGAACAGAGATACATGCCAACCACTTGGAAACAACTTGCTGCTTCCCACAGTGTGATTAGATGCCCCAAAATTTGGGCAGCAATAGCCATAGGAGACATTATGAATACTCCTGGTGACACTAGTAGCTTCTGGACCTCAAGAAGGACCAGAGAAAAAGGAGAGGTAGTGAGCAAATGAGAGTAATTTGTGATTGCTTAAAACATTTTCAGCAATGTTTTAATGCATTATACTTTTTCATAAACAACAGTTTAACTAGGATAGTGTAACGAGAGTTTGCAATTTATGTAATTTTAAGTTACCATACTAATGACTGGAACTGTAGTAAGGTGCTATAGGCATTGCCAGAGAAAAGGAGTACCTACATGTCTTCCTTCAACAAACACAGAAGATAAAATTACCACAGTGCAGAAAACTTAGGAGTGTAGGAAAATGCAGTGAGTACCCATTATCTGAAATACATGTTTTAATGGGAATTAACACATATCTCCATATCTGCAAGCACAGTCCATATGCTTCAACAGTACTATTCTAGAAAATGTAATTAAAATCACCATGTTTAGGTTCTGCATCTACCTCTGTTTTAATAGTACTAGAAATAGCAAAAAGAAGCGAGATATATTTTCAGATATTTAATGCAATTAAAGATAATAATATTCATTCAGCAGGTAACACAAATACAAATCATGGACCGTATTGTTCCAAGTGGACTGTAAAAAGCAGGTTGTAGAGTTGTGACATTTTAAACCAAAAGGCAGCACTCTCCTGGCTTTTGCGGTGCTGTGGATACTGACATTTCAGGCTGGTATTTATTGCCTTTTAAACTAGTAACTTCTAGCTGCAGGTTACCCATGTCCGACCCAAGCAAGGTACTGTTTCCAACCAGGAAGGTAGGACATTCCCTGATCGTTGCTTGGGCTTGGAATAGACAACCTTTAAAGGTCCCTTCCAGCTTTCCTCTCTTAATCATACAGGACCACTTTGCTTTCTTAGTTGAGCAACATAAACTCTATAATATTAACTGACTTTTCTCTGCTGTGTAGCTCAAGTTGTAGAGAGGAAAGGTGTACAGAAATACCACATTCCTGCTGGAAAGCCATGTAGTTAAAATTCTTAATACACAGTGAAAGCTTCATTTGTAGGCACTTTACATTTTTGAAAGATGCTGTAATTTAAAAGAGTAGGGTGAACCTGCTCTGGCAGGGGGGTTTGGACTAAATGATCTCCAGAGGTCCCTTCCAACCCGTATGATTCTGTGATGCTGTAACAAGTGAGATAGACAGCCATAATCAGCGGTGTGAAACATTTGTCTAACAGTAAAACAGAGCTAAAAGAGCCTTCCTACATCACTGCGATAATTACCTGCTTCAGGCCATATTCATTCCTCCTATTCAGGCAAAAGTCTAATCACGTTAGTGGTGTGGGTTAATACAAGTGAAAAGAGAAGACATAACACACACACTCTTCACCCCCCCAAAAAATCCAGCAACCAAACCAAATGAAAAGTCTCTCTTTAACTTCATTCCTTTTTGGGACTTGTAATTTTACTGAGCCCGTTAGTAGCCAGTCCCATGCTACCCAACACATCAAAACAAGTACTGGTGCTCATGGAAGGGATGGAAATTTACAGTGAGCTGTAGCCTGCCATGGCCAGAATCCTGCTGCTGCTTATCGCCATACATCTCATCCATTCAGTGGGTTTGCAGAAATATAGAAATGGACGTAACTGAATCCTGGAAGTTTACTGTTTGTAATCTGATCTGATTGACTTATCTAACTACTCATGCAAGCTGATTTGCTCAGAAGAATATAGGGCTTATGTGCCTGACAATAAGTGACAGCATTTTAAGTGTTTTAGTGCATGAAGAGTGGATGGACAGTAGATATGTTACAGGATTTCACCTGAACATGTTGAAAAACTCCAGTCCAGTTTAATTTTTGAGAGCCCCAGCTAAGTTTAGGAGCTGACCAATAGAGGGGGGGGAGGGGGGGGGAAGAGAAAGTATTTTTAACTTTTACTAACTAAAATCTCTGCAGTGCTCTCCCCCGCTCCCTTTTTTTTTTTCTGCAGAAAATGGATAAGTCTGGTTACGGAGTGCATACGCTACAGAATTTTGGTGAAACCAATACTAGTTGCTAATGGGTGTAAGTTGTTTGCACAAAGTCTAAAAAATAATCAGCAATGCTTTTTGTTATTTTCTTCTCTCTTTTTGATTAATTTATACCACGGGCTTAGCACAGTAAAAAAAAATTTCAAGTGCTATCTATCTGGATCTTGCCTAGAGAGAGCAGGGCTGCCTCTTGCAGGCTGCTGGGAGGAGCCTTGACGGTGAGAAGGTGTCACTGCCCCGGGTGCTGTGCCCGCTGTCAAAGGCTGCCTTGGCTTTCCCTGCCAGCCGCTGACAGGACACCAGAGCCCGCACACACGATGTGCCCGCGACTCTGTGGGGCTCGGGGAGCTGTGGGGCTCAGCGAGCAGCCTCGGGGGGCGAGCCAGGGCTCAGAGCTTAGGTGCCTGCGATCTGTCCGGTGCGGAGCCGTCATCTAAACAAAGTATAGATTCAGCGGGAGGCTCACTCGGAAGCCGCAAACCCCTTCCTTCCCCCGGGGCGGGCAGCGGGTTCCCGAGGGGCAGGGGGGACGGCAGGCTGCCGGCCGGGCTCCGGCGGCGGGGCGGGCACACGGTGGCGGGCGGCGGGACGCGCCTTACCTGGCTCGGCGGAGGGGCCGGCCCCGGGGCGAGGAGCGGCCGGAGCCCGGCTGGGGCGGGCGGCTCAGCCCCGACGGCGCTGGCTCGGCAGCGGGCTGGACTCTGCGCGGTCTCCCTGCCCGGCCGCACCGCTCCTCCCGCTCCATTTATAGCGAGGGGCGTTGCGGCACAGCCCAGCTCGCCCGCTGACTCTCCCCACCCATCTCCCGGGACGGACCCCTCTGACCCGTCTCCCTCCCACTTCCACCCCTTTTCCTACACCCGCCCCGTCCGCTGGTGCGCCCGCAGCCGGACCATCCCCGCCCGCTGCGGCGACCGCCGCTCCGCGCCGCTCCTCCGGCAGTGAGGAGGTGCCCGAGGCGGGGGACGGGCAGGACGGGTGCCCCTCTGCACGGCAGCGCGGAGCCAGCGGCCAGGGATGGTTATTTCGGAGGAGGAGGAGTGCCAGCCCGCGCAGGCTGCGTGGGTAGTGCGAGGGATGGGTACGGGATGCCTGCTCCTTCCATTTGCCTTCACCTTTGTGAAGCAGGGGTCGCAAGCAGTGTACATCCATTTCCAGTTCCTCTAGGAATCCCCCGGGCCGCCCATGAGCACAACTGAAACGTTCAGACCATCACTAGTGAAGTTGCAGTGTATGTCAAATTGCCATAATAAATGTGTCAAACTTTATTCTCTGGGAATAGAGGGGAGAAGGAAACAGGTATGTTAAACCCCCTCTCAATACACACATGTCCTGGGAGGTGTGCTTTTCATGCCGCTGCTGGCTAATACTAAAAAAAAAAAGGACTTTGTGTATGAGGGATTTTTGTTGATTTGTGTGTTTCTCTCTTTTCTTGATCTGGCAAACAGGACAGAGAGTAACTTTTCAGGCAGGATTTCTGAGATTCTTATCAAGAACAGCATTTCAGAAGTTCTGTTTTATTTTAGGGTCATCTGACCATCATTATGAACAGAGATAATGCTTCCAATGGAACTGCACAATTGCAGATTGCCTTCTAATCTCTTTATACACCTTTTGTGTTTTTGAAGGCCTCTTAAGGAAGACACCATGACCTAGGATGGTAATATCTTTCAAGGGTTGGCAGTGTAACTTTATTGTGGCTAAGAGTAATTAGGATCTACCTTCTAACAGTGATAGGAGAAAGTAAATCAAGAGGAAACATTTGGATTGTGCAGTAATAATAACTTTAGTTCAAATAATAATTGCTTTTCAACATCTGCACATGTATAATCAATAAGGTCTTGTCTGGCTATAATTTGTTTTTGAAAGTCTGTTAGCTAAATCGGAGGTTCAGACAGAAATGTGGAACTGAGGCACATTACATGAACTTAATTGTTCCAGGCTGTGTTTGATGGGCCATGAGTGCGTTACATGGAGGCACTAATTCACCTGTAACATAATCTTTTGCCGTGATCTTATTTATGTCATGTCAAGAAAAATCATCTGCGTTTTCATCAGAACAGCAGTCAGGATCGAAGCAGTCTATATTGGCAGCGTGCTGCCCTCCTGCCACTTGGGGAGTTTGTAATTGGCTTCCTCTCTGAAGAGATCGTGCTGAGATGTCTTCTAATGATGAACCATGTGCTTGTTCACAGATTTGTCATGACAGGAACTGGAAGCCGCTTGCCAGTAAGCACTATTGAGGCCTCTACAGTCCCTGAAGCTGGCTACAGCAGTGTGCTCTTTGTTCCCATAAATGTTGTTGGTTGTATTACATTGGGCTTTTCCATATGGGACACATTTATTCTATCCAAACAATTCTGTGTACATATGTGACTGATTACAAAACTCTATTGAGTATCAATGTATTTGGCAGTTATTGCACAATTCTGCCTCAGTCTGTTCTATGGTAAAACCTGTTGGATGCAGCTGATGGGGAGGACACCTCCATAAGGTGATGCTTGCAGGGATTTGTCCTCTAGTGGTTTTTCAGTCCTCCTAGAGCTAAGCTGAAGGAACTGAGGCCAAATCTCAATGCCTGCATCAAACACTGGCTACTTAGAGTCCCAAAATGCCTCTGGATGTTTGAACAACTTCTGGGGATGAGTTGTTCCCTTTATTACCTTCTATCACCCCTTCTCTTCAGGAAAGAGATGGGGAAAGTAGATGATAACTGTGTTTCTAACCAGAATAAAATTAAAAAATAAACTTCTTTTTAAACTGGTTCCTTTTTTCAAAGATGCATGTAAAATTGAATTTGAGTCTACATCTCTGTGTTGAGTTCAGTCCATCTCTGGTAGATGTGCACAAGAGAGAAGATGTAATTTCATGTAATTTTGGAAAAATCTCCTCATTACCATCAGTTTTGTGTCTGGAATCACAGTAACAGAACTGTAACACAATGAACACTGAAACATGCACTCGCTCTAGAAATGTGATTTACAGGAACATCCAGTGAATAATAGGCTTGATGACTAGAATTCTGTTTTCATTGCACTGCTGTAAATAAAGAGTCTTCTTTCCACCAGAATTGATTAAGGTGTCTATAATGCAGAAAGGGCTTAACGGAGCAGATTTCATTCTACTGCTTGTGTTAGAGCAAACAGCTGTCATTAAGAAGGTGACTGGACTGGGCAATTTGATTGCTATCAAATCAAACAGATAGCTCTTCTAATAGCAATGCTTATTAAAATCGCTAGTACTATATAGAGGATAAATTGTTTAAAACAAATCTTTATTGGGACTTCAAAACCACATTGCTTTTAAAACCTTCTGATTTTTATGAAGTAATATGTTTGGAATGATTCACATCTGAACCTTTTGGTTGTGTTTTTTCACATTTCCAAGATATATTTTTTCTGCAAGAATGAGAAGTAGAAAATGATTTTCTTTGTTGAAAGCTGATGTTCCATACATAGATCCCCATGTATTTGGGTGTTAAGAGTCAGCCTTGAGGAAAGCACCCCAGACTGTGAGATTTGTGGCATGCAGCTTCTATCCATTGTATTCTTTTGTATGTATTCCTGATGCATTTTCCCACTGTTGCTTCTCTCAGGAAATAGATTGGACTTTTGCACATAGAATGCTGTGCATTTGCTTAGAAGAAAATGTATAATTCTGAGGTAGGTGTTTGCTTGTACTGGAAACCCGTGCGTGTCCTGGTAGCAAGCTGATTTGAGTATGAAGATAAAAAAAACAACTTATGTTGTTTTTTTTTTCTTGTCAAAAGACTCTCCTGCCATAATGAGTATTTCAGTCATATCCTGTTCACATATCTAAGCCTTTCTTGAGAACAGGCACCAAGAATTGATCTCTAGTCAAAGTATCTATTATTTAGAATTTTTCATCCTCTTTTGCCAATAAGCTGCGTTTTCAGAGTGTGTTCCCTTCTTTCATGTGTTCTACAACTCAAAGTTACTGGGAAATGTTATGGAAAGAAAATTTTGAAAAAGGGTAAACATAATTCTCACTGCCCTCCTCTTGATCTCAAACTTGTTCAGCTGTAGGAATACTGTTAGTAGGTCATCTTGTAGGAAGAGGAATGTATATTACTGTTGTTATCCACTCTCTATGTGAAACTATTGGAGACCACAAGGTTTTGCTAAGGCTTGGAGATTCTGCTAAGAATCATATATATTTGTGAACACAAGAGAAGAGCGTGGGAAGGAGAGAAACATCTTTTGGGACAAGCGAGGGAGGTCATTCGCAGACTTCTGAGCAGCAGTGTTGCTAATATCCACGAGGTCTGCCTCTTCAGAGCTATGGAAATTTACATTATTATTTTTTTCTGATGAGGTCCTTGAATAATTAAGATAGTTAATCTCTTTCCAGGAAGCTATATGCTTTAACTTCTAGTCTTCCTCAGCTTGTATTCTTTAATTGTATCCCTTATAATAATTATAGCAGAAGCAAAAGGATAGGCTGCAAAATGCAAAGACTCTAAGCAAGCTGATGTTTTAAATCTCAGAATTTTCTCAGCACTTTAAAGTTTCACTGGTTTTATTTTAATATATAAGTAGTAGGTTTTTTGTTTGACTTCTACTGTGAATTTAGGAAGCTGAACTGAAAGAGAAGTGTGTGACATGCTCATTTTCTGAAGTTTATAAAATATGGCAGTTATGGACTTATTTTTATATCTAGATTGGGTTTTACTAGATCATTAGTCTAACTACAACAGCAACTGCTTTGGGGTTTAGAGTGGTGAATTCAGTGGCAGATATAACATGTCTAATGGGCTTGGAGCGTAGGGGTTGCTGTGCAGGTGCCTGGCAAGAGCGGGCTGGCTGCCTTCTGGGTCTGGATTGCAGTGAGATGGTTCTGGGCCCGTGGGTACGTAGTGAGTGCAATGCATCCAGCCCAGCATGGGAAGCTGCTGGTACGAATGGGGAAGTAGTATTAGAAGATTCTATGGGCAGAGGAGGAATGGAGACTTAGACTATTCTTTATTGCTAGAGTAAATCCATGCTTGATGAAACTGTCAGGTCACCAGATCAATGCAGAACCTCAACGCTTCTCCCAGAGCACTTTCGGCAACAGAAGGAGGCCAGCTGCCTCAGTGCAAACTTCATGTTTCCCTATAGACATTATTGGGGATCCCAGGGGAGTGAGAGGATCTGTAGGAAGCAGAGGTGACAGAGGCATGTCATTTTCTCACTGTCCTGGAAAGTGAATGACAAAGACCAGCCTCTTTTTGAGGCTGGGATCTCCCCAGCAATAGCAAGCTGGGAAACAAGACCTGAGCCAGATGATCCCAAGTGCTGACAAGGCAGCACCCAGGGGCTGGGCTGGGGTCCCTAAACTGTGCTCACGCTGCTCTGATGTCCACGGGGTCAGGGAACCAAGTCATCTCTTTGAGAAATAACTGGAAAGAAGAATAATTTGGGAGTTATTTCCTCTTCTTTTGCAGACTTTCCTAGGGGTTCATGACATTACATTCCTTTGCTTGAAAAATCCTAGACAGCAATCTTGAAATACAGTATCATTCAATGAACATTTACTACACTCTTTCCTCGTTTCCCTGGCTTTGCTTTCAGTTGGTGGAGCTGCAATCAGTGCGGTGCACTCTTGCCTTCAGGTGTGAGCCCAGACCAAGTGTGTGGGATGTGGAGACAAAATGCAGGGAGGCTGGATTTGCTGCTCATGTGCTACTTCACCTACATGGTCACAGGAG